CAATAACAAATATTTTTGTGAAAAATAATTTTCAGTTTTTTCAGGGCTGATTCAAACTCTGATTCAGAGCTGAAAAAACTGGAAAGCTGATTCAGCTATTCAGACCTAGCTGATTGTCGACTAGTGTAGTCTGTTTTTCACTTCAAAAATGAAGAAAACCACTTTACTTTTCCAAATCTACGCTTCACGTTTTCTGTTCTGAACTAATTTTTTGCCATGATGATTAATCTTGTCGGTTTAATTCTCTCGTATAAATAATAATATAATCATATAATGACACCACTGTCTGTTTCTCTGACTGTCAGACAAACACATTGGTTTATAGTGGTTTTGAGTAAATAATAGAATGCCATGTTTCTGAATAAATTATATATCGGTCTTTTTGCTTATTTTAGATTATAATATGCAGCGATGAAAAGTAAGCAGTCTGTTATCAATAATGATAGTTTTACTTGGTTCTTTATCTTCATTTTTCTGTGTCGCTTATTTCATAAGGTGCATTGAAGAACTACAAGAAAAGTTGTTTATAGCGCTTTTGCTCCGAAGAACACTGGACCTAACTGACAGATCGTCGGAGAGGTCCCAATTTTTACTTGTGTTTCTATGATTTTCTATTGCAAGTTTTCTCTTTTTCGTTCATGTTTTTTGTAAATTGCCTTATTTTTTATAAACTGTACTTTAAAAATAAAATAAAAGTTATCTGGTAGCAACGACCAACGTTTCTTAACATTGTTTTCTTTTTGTGGCTGCCCTACCATGACTTTTGCGATTGCGTCGATGAAGTTCAGCAATAAATCTAGCTTGGTGATCTGTCACCAAGATTGGCCGAAAAAACGAGATAATACGAATATAAGAAAAGTGCGACATTCGCAAGTGTATTAACAACTTAGAAAAATAAAACGGTACTTTATCACTGTACAATAAAAATATTTAAAGGTAGAATCAAAACTTTTAGAGGGATCACAACAATATCTGATTTTAAAAAAGACCCAGTCGAAGTAGTAGAGCTTTTACGAAAACATTTTGAAACACATTTTTCTCTACCACTGAATGAAATAGATCCAGACCTAAAAGCAGAAGCAGAAGCAGCTCTAGAGGAACCACCTCCTGACTGTCTCGACTCTACACATGGCACAAAATTAAGTTAAAAGACGTTCGATTTCTCAGGAGAAAGTTCAAGAAGAAAAAATCAGTAGACGTATGATACGTCTGTAGACCAGATACGTCACGTATCTGGTCTCTTAAATGTTGTGCTTAAGGTTCTGCCAGACGAGTACGATGTTATTTTTTACTTATTTTTCACTAGCTGGGATCTTCGAACAATTATTCAAAAATTGTTAAACTCGCACGAATCTTCCTTCTTTCTAAAAACGGACTGTACCCTCAGCAAAATCAACTAAAACCAATTGTTTTATTGGATAACATCGGAAAACTTTACGAAAAGACCTTCAAAATTTACTTACTGCTATGGATCAAAGAGCAATCAATTCTGCCGAATGCACAACGCGGTTTTTGCTCTGGTTTTAGGCTCAATTCCAGAGTTTTAGCACTCACGAACGAATAGAAGAAGCTTGAGCACTTCATCAATCGGCACTAGGAATATTTTTGGATTTTTGCAGTGCTTTTGTGAGCGATGGTCTCACTAAATTGAAGCTGATATTAAAGAAACCGATTGTTGCTGAAAGCGGAATCTCCTTTTATTGAAACAAACTTAAAAACGAAAGAGATAAAATGGACAAACACAAAACGAATAACAAGTGACGATGTGCACGATACGCGATGGCGTCTAGAAGTGCAACTAAAAATAAGAAACATACACTATTTATATATCTACGGATAGATAGATAGACTAGTTTATTCAAAAAATAAAAGAATAAACCCACTGAGCGCATGACTAGAGTAGTCTTCTGCTCTTTACAACAAACAAGGGGGAGAAAAGAAAAGAAAGAAGAGTGGTATTTAGGCGGAACTTGGAGTGTTTGGTGTCATATGTTTTGGAGGGTTGTTTCAGTCACCAGTTAAAAATGGCAGCAGTGGAGAGAGTGGAAGGTTCGAGGTGTTTTTCAGCTTAACTGTTTCTTGTAGAATGTTGAGGATGCGGCTGTATCTACGGATAAAACAAACGGAAAAGAACCATAGATATATATGAACGAGAGAGAAAACGAATAAATGTAGAAAACAAGGGAGAAAATGAATAAATGTAGAAAACAAGGGGCTGGACGAAGGAAGAAAATAATTCTTCAATAACACATGTAGGACCTAGAAGTCACGCGGCTAAACGTGTGACGAGATGATGCAATAATATACGCTTAGATCATGATTACGCGTTATGTGCAAGGCCTAGGCCTGTAACAGTCCTCCCCCCAGAGAAAAAAATTTGTTTTTTATCCAAATTTTCAATAGATAGTTCTTCACTGTTCTTTCCTTTCTTAGTTCACCGGGATTTGTGATGATACTTGTACTGTTGACGATGACTACCAGTTACTGTTCGTGTTCCTTCACCGGGATTTGCTGGTGTTGGTTGATGGGAATGATCAGATCTGAATGATCGATCTGTTGGTGTTGAACGAGGATCAAATGCTTCTGGATGAGCTGAATGATCTGGTCTATTAGACCGATCTCTTGATGTTGATGTTCGACGATGAGGCAGGTCGACTTTATTATAATGTGCCTCGGTAAACCAATCACTTGTTAATTTATCCCAGCGCTGGAAATCGTCCGATTTCTGAAGACCAATAAATACGTGATGTGTGCCAGTTGTCGGTGATACTCGTGTGAGGACTCTTGAGTGCGGAATTCCTTTTCTATCTAACACTTCAATGATTTTTTTCGCCGACCACAATTTGTAAATATTACGTCGGATAATTTCTGTTGCAAATTTTCGAGCGCGTTGTTTCAAAGTTTTTTGACGATTCTTTCTCTTCTTTTGTAACTCCGATAGTTGGGGTTTAAGCCGCTGGATAACAGCTGATGTTAGATGTGGCTCGCTGGTCGGCTGTTGAGTATTTTCAAATGATGATGCCGGCGGTGAGGCTGAAATCAGAAAAGGATATTCTTCAGAAATAATGATGGTAAATTGTGACGGTGGTGGTGGTTTACCACTTCACTCTATTTCACTAATTTCACTCTAACATTAGTGAATATCTTTATGTGGGACTAAGAACAAAATTTAGTTGGAAACCAAAAGAGTTCAAGTGAACTATATGGTCGGTAAGTGCCATTTTTACCGGGAAAGTTTCATTTTCTGCCTTCATTTCTTCTTTGTTCATAGATACATTGATGATATCTTCTTAACGTCGAATGATTCAATTGAAACACTAAAACAAATGTTAGAAGATGCCAACGAGAAACATTCAAATATCAAACTAACCTATGAAGTTGGTAGTCGTGTTTCTTTTCTTGATCTACAAATAAAAAATCAAGAAGGAAACTTAATTACATCTGTCCATCATAAAGAAGCAGCTGAACCTTATGTTGAACCATTCAAATCTGATCATCCACGACATATATTTGAAAACATTATCAGAGCTACTCTTCTTCGAGCTGTAAGATATTGTTTCACATTAGAAGAATTCAATCATGAACGTGGGGCGATTAAGTTAATGCTACTCTACAACGGGTAATCTATATGTAAATATTCTACTTAATTCTAAATCTCGTTTTCTTAAACATTTCATAGGTATCCAGTCAGATACATCTATCGACACTTTCAAAAATTTTTTCATCAAAATTCCTTGACATCAACATCTATTCTACCAATGATTCATGACGAAAACCAATATTTACTAGTGCGTCAACACCTACTTGCTCAACCTACCACCAGTGAACATGCTCGAGCATCAAGAATAGCCAGTCAAATGGATCGTAATAATCGCACATCAACCACGGATCCATTAATACAACCGAAATTACTAAAAGCACAACAGAAGAAAAATTTATCAGCTCTTATACTTATTCATTACACTCATGAACAACGTTTCGCATACTACAAATCAAATACATCAAACATGGGACAATATATTCCTACATACATCAGTGTTGGACAGTCAATTGACAGTTGGAACTCGAAACAGACCTAACCTCACCAAAGAACTAGTTCGCCGGTGTCCATACCAACCCAAAACAAAACCAACCTCAAAACAATTACAATCAACATTAATAAACTAATTTCCACTGACAAATAATAAACCAAAAACATTTCCCAAACAAATTGCTCCCTTTGAGCTAAAGATTCTAAAATGTGAACAATTTACTTTTTCTATAGCAGCAGCATAAATAAATCAATAGCAATAAAATTAGTCTTCCGGGAATGTTTTCCATTTCTTTACTACTGACAGTTGTTAAATAACTACACAGAGTTAGAACTACCTGATGAAGACCCTTAACAAGGTCGAAATCGTAGTATGCTGTACTCACCCTTTCACATACAGACATAAGATAATACGAGTGAAATTCAGATGATAAACTATATCAGACCTTAGTTTTTTTCACTATCAAAAAATGGCTGCGCTAAATTATGCCGTCTTTATTAATAGCGTCTAAATCTTTACAGAAGGACAAAAATAAGAGCCATGGGCGTTGGAGCTAGAGACCTGCGGAGTCACACTTTTTTGACTCCGACTCTGACTTCAGAGATTTTTTTTTCAAACTCTGATTTCGACTCCGAAAATTTTCTTTCAAATGACTCCGAGTCCGACTCCGGAAAACTCCGAAAATTTTTCTTCGGTCAAATTAGTGAAAACTTCGGCCTATGGAGGTATAATGCAATTTGCGTTTAGTGTACTGTCACGTATCAAATCTGATTCAGTTAGTATTGTAAGTGAATAAGCAGACATGTTCAATGTAAGACAGAAAAAACAGAGCTGAGTATATTTTGAAATTTTCTTGTCTATTAAATATATTTGTAGTGACTGCAGAATTCTTTTCACGAAAATAAGTTCTAAATTTAATTAGAAAAGAAGACAATTGTATTTTTTCTGTTTCACGTTGTTCCGATCTTGGATCGGTATTTTCTGTTTAGTTGACGTTACAATTATAAAAAAAGTCAATTAAAAAGAGGATATAAAACGGTTTTCGGAGTCACTTCATAATTTACATCGACTCCGACTCCGACTTCAAAAAGAAAATATTGGCTCCGATTCGACTCCGACTCCGAAAAAAACTTCGTTTTTGACTCCGTCGGAGTCAGAGTCAGAGTTCGGAGTCTATTGCAGGTCTCTAGCGGGGGCGCCTCAAAACTAGGTAAGGCTCATAGCGTTTTCTTCTTTCTCGCCAAACTTTTATCGGAACATCAAGCAAGTCTCTCCTTTTGCTTCAGCAAATAAACAAAATTAATGGATAAAAATTAGTTATTAGTTTAAAGAATATCAAAGAATCGTTTTCTGTGTTCGTTCTTGCAGCAGACATTACTAAAAGTGCAGTCTATTCCAAGGTGGCCAAGATTGGGGTGAAAAACTTTTTGCATCAGAACTAAGCGTGATTTTGGTTGTGTCCAGCCAACTTTCGATGTAAACAAATCGGGCTGCGAGAAAAGTGCATAAAAAAATTAACACAATTGGTCGCGAAGCGAAGTTTTTTTCGCAGATTGCTAAGAAATTCTGCTTCTCTTTGAAGTTTTATTGGAAAGAATATAAGTCAGTGGAGAAACGTGCCAATACTTTTGCCACCATAGGCGATCACGCTGAGACGTTGATCCGAAAATGAACCTCGCTGGATAAAAGTAATGATATTTTCCGACAACCCAAGCTTATAGATTTTCCAGTTTGATAAACACTCGTGCGGTTGTTAAATACTAGCAGTGTAAAATTTTTGATATTTCTATACGATTTTTTCGTCAACGCCAGTCGTTTTTTTTAGCGTACGAAGCTTTTAGATCATACGATTGTTTTGGATTATTGAAGGGATCACGCCTCTTTTCGGGACACCCCTACACAACCGCATAAAAGGCTTGAAAACTGTATTCTCGCGGAACGTCAGCTGTAAAATTAGGTGAGGCTGAGCCTCAATTGGTAAAAACCAGATGACGTTCAAGCCTTTGAGCTTCACTGGCTCCGCTACATATGCTTTAGATTTTCTAAGAAGTGCGCCGGATTTTATAGAATTATAGGGTGTCAAGGCTTCGCTATTGCCTGTTAGGCTCACATTGACCTTGTTGCCACGTCGAAAGAGAAAAAGCATTAACGAGAGAGGTAGTGATTTCATATATGTCGTCTAAACAATCTTCTTTCGCTTCCATTAAGAACAGCGTGGTCTCCTTTCAAGGTAACATTCTATAATGATGAATAAGCAAAATATTGAAAGAGAACAATATTCACATTCGGTCTATGGTGACATTAGACAAATGAGAAATAAAATGCATATCGTATGAGCGAGTTGTACAGCTCGAATGGAGAAAGAGAGAAATATATAAATAGTTGAATACTTCACGTCTCTGCGCACACATCACTGACAGTATGCAAAACAGCGAAGGTAAATATCTATCCAATGTTTTTTTTTTCAGATGACTTACTATTATTTTTTCAACACTCTAAAAAAAATAGGTTTAGTACAGAACTTTGAAAGTTTCGTGTTTTCGCGCCGAACAATTTTAAGTTCCGTATAAAAATATGGTTTCGTACTTTTCCTGCAGAACCTTTTCAAATTCATCAGAATTCATGACGTTT